GTAGTCAGGGGGTGGGGAGGGTCTGAGGTGCCTGCTTCCTGTCTTCCCTACTTCAGAGTCAGTACTGCCCATTTAGGGGAGATAGTTCGTACTAAAATATTGCTTTGATCATGCTGTTTACTGGCTCAGAGACATTGGCTATTTTCTGCTGCCTCTAAATAACAGCCAAATTCTCCATAATCGGCCTCACTGTACAGTTACTGTATTAGCTGACTTTTAAAGTCATTTACAGCCTAAGTCTATAATCATATAATTCTGCCACAATAGTTTTAGTTTCTACCACTTCCATACGTGCCTCACATTTCTACCTCCTGGCTTTGCCAACGCCAGTCTACATTCTTGGAATGTATTATGGTTGGTCATCTTCCTTTATTAAGATTTATCTTTATTTTAATTTTTTTGGTAAAAATCTCAAATCATATCAGACTGAAATGATATTTCTTATCTCTGAACATTCAGAGCAATTAGTATGTCTGGGATTTGTTTGACAGTCACATATGCCCTTGGCATACTCTTCTGTTATTTGAATCTTTTATCCTGTATGTATATAGATAAGGATAGAAGGGAATGTACAGAAACATTCTCATCTAAGAGATAACACTATGGATTCTTTGACTGTCTCGTAATGTACTCTTATTTTTACAAGAATTTAAATTTCCTGAGTAGCAGAACATTTAAAACGTATTTATGTGTGTTTTATAATATTGCAGAGAAAACCAGTTAAGTACTGTATTTTGCTGTGTAAAATGTGTTTCTCTATATAATATGCACCTACATTTTTGGCTCAAACTTTCAGAAAAATGCTCCTCAAGAAGGTGATCAGCTCTCAGCTAGGAGAGACACTTCTGGGCAAGGGTGATGCCCCTCTGGCAAGTGTGTAAATAGTACGGCCCTCCTGCAGCTGGCTGCCCCTTCCCTCTCTCCCAGGAGCCCCCACCTAGAGAAGCCTCACATTGGGGAGCTGTGGCCACGATGGCCACTCAGGTAGCTAGTGGGGCAAGATCATCTGAGGCAGCCAGGTCAGTCCCTCGGCCTCTGTGGGGCTCCTGGTCCCCTCTCTGTGGCTGGTCCTCAGGCCTTGGTCTTCACCCCACACAGCCACAGCCTACCTCACCAGCCCTACCACTTGTGGTGCTCAGTGGAGGCTGCTGTGGCCTCCAACAGACCCTAGATCCTCCTGGGAGGGAACCCCTATGCACCCAGTGGGCCCAGCAGCCCTGGAAGACCCACCTGGATCCCCTGCCCCTGATCTGTACTACCTATGTATAATTCATATCCTTTCTCTCAAAAGTTTGGGCAAAAGAAGTGTACATTATACATGGCAAAATATGGTAGTATAGCCAGCTCTGTCTAAGGGCTCAAAGTATATCTTTACATGTTTTCTCATGAACATATTCTTGATACGTACTTTTACTTTTGGATTATTATAGCACGCAGATGATTATGAGAAAGGATATTTTCTAAGCAGGCATCTTTTTTACATTTTGTTACGTTATTTTTAAAGTCACTTCAAGTACCTAAATACATTGTGAGTGATAGCGTGTTTGCATTTATGGGGGCAGTTGCTACAGAAGAATTAGTTTTTAGGTGGAAAGTAAAGGTAACTCAATGTTCTGTTCTAACTTTAATATTTGAATTGCCTTATAAAATAAATATACTTTCCTTCTGTATATTCATTCTTACAAGTGGCAGGTCCTAGATATGCACCTGTCAGTGAATATTCTCTTTATCTAGTTTAGCTAATGAGCTTTTGGGAATAATTTGCATCTCAAGGGGTTTTAGGCCTATAAAGAACCTTA